TAAAATGAACTTTTTTGATTTTTGGAAAATGGCTGCAATGAAACAAAGAGTGAAAAATTTAAAGGGGTCTGAATACTTTCCGTACCCACTGTATACCTCAGTATCCAGGGGTCCAACAACTGGCCGACAGAGAAATGGGCAAGCACGGATCCAAGGCCAACGAAGCAAAACAGGAACGCAAACAGGTCCCTCCAAGCCAACGAGGAGATGCCTCCCCCGGACCCCAATGCACAAACTAAACGCCCAGCAGCCATCCAGAGACCCTGCCCAGGGAAAAAGTATAATGCATCAAGATGCATCGACAATCGCCCCACAATCCCACCGCAGCCCCACCATCCGCAATTGGATCAACCCGCGCAGAGACCCCCACCCCCAGAAGCCAGGACACCCTGTGACCCCCCAAAGCGCAAAGGACCCCAGACCGCATGTCCAGGGGGAAGCTGTACCCCGCCCCAAGGAAGAACAGCAGAAAGCCGTGCCGGGAAGCTCGCTACCGCCAGGGAGCGATAACGCGGGAGAACCAGGCCAACGGTCCCCCAGCCCAGCCAGAGGCATCCCTCCCTACAGTGCAGGCAGTGACAGCAGCCCCCGAGGCCGATCTCATCCCCGGACAGGGGCCCAGCCCCCCCCAGTCAAGCACCCCCAAGGAGGAGCACCAAAACCTACCCCGACAACACCGGTCATGCGCCCCAGAGACTCCCGAATGCCCCCACCGTGAGAGAGCTGACAGGGGGAAGCAGCGGGAGCCTCACCTCTGCCGAAGAGGGCCCAGGCGAGGAGAGGAGACAACGGGCCCCCAGGCCCAGGGACACACCACCCGCCCAGAAATGAGCAAAGGCCACAAGCCCGAGTCCGCAGAACCCTAGGCCAAGGGCGGGCCCCCACGCCAGGGGAGCCCCGACCCCCCCAGCCCACCCCAGATCAGGCAAGGCCGTCACCAACCCCACAGCACCCCCAACGCCCGGGGCTCCAGGGGTAGGACACGAGGCCAATGAGAATCTCTCCCACTCCTTCAACCCCTCTGCCTGCCTCTGTAAATGTATTGTTTTGTGTTGGATGCATGTCATGGATTGTGAAGTGTTGTATGGTGGAGTAAAGATAAGGTGTGTGATAACTAAGGTGCAACTAAAATTGGAGGGTAGTTGTGACACAGGCACCCCACAACTGTCAGGTAGTGGAGCCTCCCATCGTGCCCCACCCACCCCCCAAGCCCTCTGTGTCTAATGTGTAATTAAAATTGAGGGGCAGGCAGTGAGGGAGGAAGAAGTGCGAGGCCGCAATAAAGCAGCCCCACCCCCCAAACGCCCTGCAGGCTGCCCGCCCCCAGGATCCTAAGGGTGTATGTTGTGAGACATGACCAAAGGGGGAAAGGTGAAGGAGGTCATAGGGAGGCTAGAAGACCAGATTCCTGACTGGCCCCATCATTTATTCAGTCCCGTCCCCCACCCCCCTAAGCAGGAGGATGCCAGGTCCCTCCAGCCCAGGGCTTATAGCAAGAGCCCCTCTAGCACCGGCAGCACCCCAGAGTCAGCGACAACCCCGCCCATCCCCAGGACGGGCCCAGGGGGGCCCAGCCCCCCCAGCGCGCAGACCCGCCCCAGACCCAGAGGCTCCAAAGCCCCGTGCCCCAGACCCCCACACACTCCCGAGGCAGGTCAGTGCAGCCCCAACCCAAAGTCCAACAATCCCCCATCCTCGCCGGGGCCCCTCCGGCAGCCCCACTGCCAACCCCCCACCTCACCGCTCCCCCACAATCAGCAGCACTCCGAGCACCACCAGCCGCCCCCCCCCCCCCCCCCCCCTTACAAGGGAGCAGGTCCGGGGCAGCAAGGACCCCACCCAAGGACAGAAGGCCCAACAGCCCAGATCCGAAGGTCGGCCCACACCCAGGAGGCAATGCCACTCAGGCCAGGTCAGGCCAGAAGACCCCCACCCCCGCGCCCTTCCCTCCCTAGCAGCGAAGCATCCCACACACAAACCCCCACCGTCCCCAAAGAAAAGAGACAGCAATCACCCCGCGACAGTAGCAACAGCCCCTCAGCCCTAGGGAGTCAGCAGATGCAAATGGCCCTTACTTACAGTTTCTGACTAAATACCTGCAAAACTATTGACATTTCCATAAGCCTCAGATGAACTTTATGTTTAGTGCTATTTAGATAATGATAGACATATGCATAGATACATCTGCTTAGCATTAGCATGGTGGCATTGTCAGCGTTAGCACGTTAGCATGCTGATGTTATCATTTAGCTCAAAGCAACACTGTGTCTATGAGTACAGCCCCACAGAGCTGTTAGCATGGCATTATTGTGTGACATGGCTTTACCACGTCACACAATAATGGCCGGCTAACCTAACCATCCTATTTCCCCATATGTGGTATGAGAGCATTATAAAGGTTGCATGCACACTTGTGTCGTGTTATAGTAATGCCATTGATGGCCAGTGGCTGCAACACCAACAGCCATATCAAAAAAAACATCTTTATCAAGGTTCAAAGTTCATTCCTGACCTTGGAAACAGCAGTTAGGAATGCAGTCTTACCACGGGGTTCATTTAGTAGCTCTTCTGGAGTTTTCAATCCTATTCCCACAGTTCCAGCTAACATGGACATCAAAGCCTCTTAAAGTGTTCAAAAAAAAGAAAAATCTGAACAAACTACATCTTCTGGTGAAGATCATGTGATATGATAAAAAGCCATTCATGGAACACACCATTACCACTATTTTCTAATGCCAGTTCACTTGTCAGCTGACTTCCAAAAGTTAGGAGCTGAGCATACAGTATGTTACAAGGAGTGATTAAACTGTATAATGTCAATACATTAGCAGTTCCCATAGAGAATGCTAAGTAAAGTGGCTACAATAAACTATAATGCAGAGATGCGAGCATGATTACAGTGGTAAAACACACACACACACACACATACTTAGTGGCGTTGATTGACTGGTAAACATAATGTTCTACATGCTGTGGCTAGCACAGTATGAGTAGGACCTTGATGTGCGGCTGTTGCCCTGTCTGTGCCTCTCACTGTGTGGATTAGAGCGATCAGGCTGCTGTGCCATGCATGTCAATAGCACCCCGTCTAGCCCTCCTGATTGTGTTCCTTGTCATAGTGACCTTCTTATCGCTGGCAGTGATGAGACGGCTCTGTCCTGTCTCACCTCTATTCTGGAGGAATATTGCTGTGTGATCATATCTCAACTTCAGTGTTTGTGATCGCCAGGCACCCGGTTTTTGTTTTCTTTGATACTAGGCAGCCTTTCTTTTTAAATGCAGCAAGATATTACATACAACCAGCAAAGAAATCAGTCGTGAAAGTTTAATAAAAAGATCTATGAAGCTGGTGGGAATGCTGCTTGTCTTTGAAATTTATTTTAAAAAAAGAAGCCTTACAACAATGATACCCTGCTGACAAGCTTTATTGTCTTTAAATGGATTACTGAATGACCTCATTAAAGTTGTATAGCCGAGGAGTAGTACACATAGGACTACATGTTATTAAACTGCTGCTTGAAACTTTGGTAGGAATACTCAGTGATCATTATCAAGTGTAATCCTGCAGAAAATAATTTAACATTAACAACCTGCATGATAGTGCTCTCATTGTTTTTTTTGCCTTTATAGTAATGGCAAGAGGATAAACATTGCACTGCATTATATTGTTGTCTTAAATTTTAAAAAGAGAAGTTCATACTGGATGAACAGAGCAAACATCTGCCAAACGTGTTTCTGGGAGTGATTATTTCTAAAGACAGCGGGGGGAATCTGACATTAATATTGCATTGTTTTTATTGCCAACAAACATAAGGCTTATTCTTCCACAGCAAATGTTGCATCAGACATCAAAGCCAGCCAGCTCGCAGTGAATATTTATTAGCAGCGATGGTACATGAAACAAGATTATCACATCTCTGCCTACATGTTGGCCCTGTAGTACTGTAGGTTTCAGGTGAGCTGCACTCCCCTCTGTTACTCAGTAAGCAAAGCTAACATGATACGGTTGGCGCAGTGCCGTTCACACTCCACAGTAAACCAGGAACATCAAGTTCTTCTCTGAACATGTCCTTGTGGAACGATATCAGATACCCCAGACATTTACAGATTTGGGGTTGCTAGCAATGTGTATGAATAACACCTGGAGCCTGACAACTGTTAGAGCTCCGAGATGACCCCGGTCCTGCTATACTAAACGAGGGTCACTGGCCTCATTCTTGATGGTTATTAGGATCTTGGCACAGCTCCAGTGGTGTCTAATGCTGACCATATCTTTATTTGCAGGTGGAAGCTGTACTGTATCTCTTGGTGGTGGTGTTTTTTTGGTCCAATTGATGTACTGCATGTGACATTACACATTAGATTTTTGTTAGATAGCAAGATTTTTTTGTTGGTGGTCTGAATAGGTAGGAAAAATGTCAGAATAAAATCAGTTACATCCTAAAAGAAAGTTTGACATTTGGGGAAATATGTTTATTCCCTCTTTAGCCAAGAGTTAAATGAGAAAAACGACACCACTCTGTACCCTAAGAATCAAGCTCCTGCCAGCAGCCAGTTATCTTAATTTAGTGGTAAGACAGGAAAGAAACAGTTGGCTTGGCACTGTCTAAGTAGCAAAATTGACCTTCCAGCACATCTAAAGCTAGCTGATTACAAGTTATATCCCGTTGTTTAATTCACAATACATTGTTTTAACACTTCAACAAGTTTTTGTGTGGTTTTTAAACCACCTAGCTGTTTACCCATGTTCAGTCTTTGTGCTAAGCTAACCAGCTGCTGGCTGTTGCATCATATTTCTCATCTAACTCTTGGCAAGAAATCCAAAAATATTCCTTTAAAAGGGGAAAATGGTGTGTAGATATATAATATAATAATAACAAATAGACAGCCCTTGATATAACCAAGGTCCTTATAACATCTCTGATATAACCAATGACTTTTGGTGTCAAGAGTTTTGTGGTCCAGACATTTAAGAGCAGTTCATCTCTTTGCTCCTACAGGAGGTGGACATCTACACAGTGAAGCCCGAGGACCTCTCATTTACCTCAGCGTTCTGCCTGCAGATCCAGAGGAACGACTACATCCATGCACTGGTCACCTACTTCCACATCGAGTTCACTAAGTGTCACAAGAAGACTGGTTTCTCCACCGGTACGATGACTCATGTCTCTTACTTACAGGGCAGCAAGGATCTAGGTGTATGAGTGGGTGTGTATGTGTAATCATTAGAGCTATATGTATTATAGTGACAGTAATGATAACCTAAATTATTAATCTCCTCTGTGAGAGAATCAAGTAAAGCTTCAGCAATCCCTAGAAGTCAGATTGAGTATGTCCCTCAAGTCTACTTTACATTACAGCAGGGTGGATGCTTTACTGAAGCGGTGGGTTCGGTTACTCATTAATATGCTTCAGTGAGCCCTGTAGAGATTAAATTTGCAATCCTGAAGAAGCAGGCCCTTCTGGTTCTCAGCAAGGGAACAAGGGAAAGTGACGGCCTGAACTTGAAATCGAACATCCCTTACGAACTTCTCACAAATCTACCTAAATTTGATTGGATGAAAGCACAGACCAAATAAAGCACAAGTAAGCAAAAAAGGGCAACAGAATAGTTTGATATTTTGTTTTTGGTGCAGAGAGTTAGATGAGAAGATGATCTCTTATGTCTGTTATGACTCATTAAATATGAAGCTCCAGCCAGCAGACACTTAGCTTAGCTAAGCATAAAGACTGAAAGCAGGGGGACACAGTTAGCCTGCAGTTTTGTCTTGTTTGTTTAATCCGTACAAAAACATATTGTTTTATATCCTTTGTTTTTGGTACCTGCCTGGTTGCAGCTTCATATTTAACAGACAGATATGAGAGTGGTATCAATCTTCTCATCTTACTCTTGGCGTGAAAGCGAATTTTACCTACATGTCAAACAATGAGAGTAGAAGATTCACAAACTTTAGCTGTACATTTTAAATGTAAATGTAATCACTAACTAACCAATGAGTGTCTGACATTATGTTTTGGTAAATCATGGGGAATACTTGTGCTGGTAGCAAGCATTTCATACACTCCTGTAAGGGAGAAAAAATTAGGGAACAAGGGCGGATATTGCTGGATTTCATATAAACTGGAACTGGATTTCACTTTATTGGGGTAGACAGAAAGCATTCACAAGCAAACATTTTATGTGGAACTGAAAGCTCTCAGCGGCCTGGAATCAAGACCATGAGTTGGAGGACAGCTTCACAAGGCACTTGCACTATTAATGTAACTAAAGTAAAATGGGAGTAACTGGCTTCAAACATCCCAGGTTATACAATGGTCCATTTCTCAAGCTCATTGTGTTTCATGCCCTGTAAGAATTGGTAGCTGGTAGTTTGGCCTTGCAGGAAAGGTAAAGGGGGAAAAAAACGCCAGGCTCTTGTCAGGAACTCTGTGTGTGTGACTGACCTCTAGTGGTAGTGGATGATATGGTACATTGAAATGATCTTGAAAGCAGAATGTATCATTGTAAAGGGTGCTTTGAACAACAAATCTACTGGCCTTCTGGTACTGGTAATAGTGTGTAACCACTGATAATTTTATTGATCACATCACAGCATCACCAGGACCATGTATCTTTTCCAGAAAAACGTATATTTTTAAACTATTTCCTAACATCAGCTTTTTCTGCCCTGCCCTCTTCCTTACTATTGATTTTCTGTAAGATTCTCTGATAAGCAAGGGTTCCAGTGTCAGAACTGAAGCCTTGTCTGCCAAAACTTTAAGATACAGATCTAAACTTACGCACAAACAGCCCAAGCTTGTTATTGATTCCCCAAACAGTCCTGAATGACAGTCGTATCAGACACACACACACACACACACACCCACACACAGACTCTCAGCCAATGAGAAAAACTCAGGCCGGGGTCAAAGATTAAAATTCATGCTGGTCAGTAGAAATGCCATCTCATCTGCTGAATTAGCATATGAAACACAGCTAGCTTGTCGGTGTCTTTAAAACGCTGAGAGCTAGGCCAGTGCAGCAGCCGTGCTGATTGGCAGGCCCTTTTATCTATGGATTCACAAAGAGCTTGTCTATAAAGGCAGAGCTTCCGAGCTGCCCCAGGACAGCTGGCAGAAATTTTTGATTTAAGCTCTACTGACCTTTTGAATCTCAGCCAAGCGATCAGCGAATATCAGGGCGCTAGGGGAATGGTCACATTTATTTCAGGGCTTTGGGTGTCAGTTTCTACCTGTCTTTCCATGCACACACAAACGTGCGCATGCAGATGAATGCACATTACGTAGCACAATAGATCCAAAGTGGAACAGAGATGAAAGGAGATGACTCGAGCAGAGGAGAGGTCAAGAATGCAGACATGCATTTCTTTCACTTCAGTGCTGTCATCTTGAACTCAAGCAGAGCTACCTACTCTTTTTTTGCACCATTGCTTCACAACAAGGACTCAGTTCCCTGTCTCTTTCTCTGCACAGTTTGTGTTTATTCTCTATCTGACATTCAAGCCAGGTAGATAGGAGACTGTGCTCTGTTAGCCCCATGATGGACTGACAACCTGTCCAGGGTGTCTCTCTGCCTTCTGCACAGTGTTTGATGGCATAGACATCAGATCCTTGGTAATACTGAAGAGGGTAAACGGAGCAGAGAAGCAAACAAATGCATTGTTGACAAGGGGATGATATTTACTGTTGCTTTCTGTCTGAGACGTTTGGTTGGTGTGTTGCGAAAGTTATTGTCGGTTATTATATTTTTCACAACCTGGCAACCGGTCAACAGCTCTTATTAATGGCTAACTGATCAATAAAGCATCCATACATGATTTATTAAGCATTATCATTATTCGTCATTAGTAAGAACTTGAAACCCCTTAGAAAGACTGCCTTTTTTGAAAGTGGTGGCACTCTGTTATAAAATAAAATGGTAGATGTTCATTTTTAAAGTGTGTGTGTTTCTGTGAATGTGTGTATGTGTCCCAGCACCAGATGCTCCATACACCCACTGGAAACAGACAGTGTTTTACCTGGAGGACTATTTGACGGTGCGGAGAGGAGAGGAGATCACCGGCAGCATTGCTATGAAGCCCAATGAGAAAAACATTGTGAGTATTGTAAAAGCCAATGTTCACATTGTGTAATTAGAATGTAGAATAATATCTGCCTTTCAGTGAAATATTGCATGTGAAGTTATGTTTAGTGGCAGTAGATATGTATATATAGCCTATATGTATATATATATTACATACAGCATGTACGAAAATATAGAATACAAATATAATCTTTCACAGTGTTATTGTTCTATCCCAGCTAAGAAATGACTCATTTCCTGCGCTGCCTGCCTACAACAGATTGTTTTCTCCTCAGTGTTGGATAGCGGTCAAATCGGCAGCAGCACTGCAGTGACTTCCAGACAAACAACAACAGATTCTATTGTTGACCTTGTCAGCGTCCTCTCCTCCCCTGCTGGGACAGAGAAGTGGTGCCAGCTTCCTCCTGTTGTCTGACACAGTCTGTGCTTATTTAACACCATGTTCTGCTGTCAGGTCAAAATGGAAAATCTGATAGTGCTCTCATCTTAGACCCCCCCCCCCCCAGCCTCAGCTAAGGATTCGCTTAATCATTACCTCCCCTCTCTCTGAAAACCCTCTTTCTTTTCTCCCTCTCTTGACCTGCAGCGCGACTTGGACTTTACCTTCGAGTTGGACTTCAAGGGACAGCTGTGTGAAGCGGCCATAGCCCATGACTACAAGATGCGTTAAGTTTGACTGGGGGGACGTTGCCCCACTGACTACAGCGCCTGAGCACCAGAGGCAGACAGAAACTCTCCCGTGACCACAGACAGACACATTGGCTGACGTAAAGAGGGGCATAGGATAAGAGAAAACATCAGGTCAAAGGACAGGAAGAGGTGGCCCCATTGACAATATCAGTACTTTTATTGCAGCGTATGATGAAGGCAGGATGTTACTGATGCTGACTGTTAAACAATTCTGAATGTAACACTGATTAAAAAAAGAGGCCAGGAATTTTTAGGTGAATGTTATTGATTATTGATGTGTGTATATGTGAGATGGAGTGATGTATCTGTGTTTTATTCAGTACTTGTTTTCCATAAAAACCTGGACCTTATGGAGGGATTTTACACTAGAGCTCATCTAATGAATTACTGTATTGTCCATATTCTGCTGTAGGTAGGCAATACATTTAAGGTGTAATTCTTATGTCATAATATGTGCTGTGGGGAATGGTCAGATCTCTCAATCAGAGAAACGCTTTACTTTATCGTCAAATTCATTTAGCAATGTTGGAAAACTAACAGCAAAGGACAAACCTGCGTAGGTGCGTATATGTGTAACGTGAAAGGTAGCACGTGTTTGCATAGTCAGTGTACTACTAGCTTCCTGTGAGTGTGCAATAGAATGTGTCAAAGCTCACACTGTTGCACAGCCTGGACTCCAGATGTGCTCTTTGTTGTCACTTTGATCTGTGATGTTGACATGCCAATAACATACCTTCCCCATTCTAAATGCCTTGACCATGTGCCGAAGTGTACCTAGTTCTTTTCCTCACTGCTGCATTAAGCTCTTTTCTATAGTTTCATATATAGGCGGTAGCCACTTTCCTTTTATTAGATTGAGATTAGATATTACTTATGCTCAAGCCATCTCAAACAATCCAACCTTACATATCTTATTAAGTCCTAACAACCAGCTCTGATCTCAGATAATAAGTTTCCCCACTGAAATTATGACAATGATAACCAAGATACAGTGACACTGCAGGTCGTCGAGTGTCACTGTATCTTGGTTTGAACCTAATGAGACTGAGAATCATGTTTCTTAAGTTTGAGTTTCTTGAGTACTATCACATGATGCGATGCTAGAGTTTACAGACTGTATTTCAGTAGGACATACTTCCCCTGTGCTCTTACTTAGGTCATCGCCAAGCTATCCACTGAAGAGTTTTCTTCAGTTGAGATGTGGATCAGGGCAAAAGATTAACTTAAAAATATTTAACACCTCACATCGATGTTCCTATTAGCCTCAAATATCGACTAAAGAAAACAATACAAAAGTTTTATCTTTGAAACCATTTGGTGATAAATAATCTCTCCCAGATTGGAATTGTGTGTTTATGATAGTGTGGAGCCAAGCCTCTATTCCCTTGTGTTATCTATTGTGCAGAGGCCCAACTGAATCTTTTCTGGGCTGTAACCAAAATGTAAAATACGAGCACTTGGGAGCAATGAGGGAAGCTAGATAAGTTATAAAGCATTCAACTAATGCTAGTATCAAACACCACAAAGTGTAGTATCAGACTGAGTGCTACCTTCTCAGAGCAGAGTTACTTTGAGCCTACGTATTTAAGAGGGCACTGGCTGGGACAAATAAGCAATACGATGTTTACTAAAGCTTACATTAAATAATACTTAAGACATCCTACTTATTTAGAATACTTGCTTCTCAAACCTTGTTTGCCATATAGTTTATAAGTCCAAACAGATCTAATAAATTGGCATGTTAGATCCACATGTATTACTATATTTAAAAATAAATGTTGTTTCACATGTTGTCATGTCAACCTCAAAACTGAATAAACAGCAATGTCTAAACTCATCCACTGGGTGATGCTGTATGACTTATTTTAATTTCATTGTACCAGAAAGAAATGACCAGTCACCAGTTTGTTTGTTTTATTACAAGTTATATTAACATTAACAATTCTTTACTGATTTCTTTGTTTGTTTTATGCTATTTACATGTATACATACATTAAAGTGATGTTCAAGATACTGGCAGTAGTGAAGCACTATTAGTGATTCTAGTGCAATATCAAACAGTAAAATCTGAACTTTTAACCTTTCTGTAACATATTAACATGTTAAAGTGACACCATTTTCAAAAAATACTTGGCACAGAGGAGTTTAGATTATTTGAAATAAACATTTTACTCCAGTAAACTTAATTTGGTCAATTGGAGAAAAATAATTATCTGCATTATTATCTTAAAATACAAAAACACACAACTGAGCCAACCTCCCAGCTAAATGCTCAGGTAGCCTAATAATCTTCAGTACTGTTACAACAAAAACAACACAGAATTACAAATCAATAATCATGTGCAAAACATAACACAAGTCTATCAAATAAAATACTATAAAATGTGACAGCCCTGCTACAAATACTACATTTGAAGCTAATCATTTTCAGTGTTTTTTTTATTTTATTTAACTACACTGCTATTTTTGTTTATTCAGTGGACAACACACAGGTGAAAAAACTAAGACACCTGTGTAATATAGAAAAGGTGACGAAGCAAAACAGCTAAAAAGCTACGCACAACTGAATAATATGTTAATATATACAGTCAAAAGCCCACATGTGACAGATAAAGGGCCTTTGAAAGGTAAATAAATATTTGAGAGCTACAGTCAGACTTTGGATGAATATCCTACATTTATAAAATGAAAAAGTGAAAGTCTCAGTTTTGTTCCGTTGTTTTTATATCTAAAAGTCAAACTAAGGTAGCCTTTGAACTTTTCAAATATTACAATTATTTTACTACATTTCATAAAATTTCCATTTACTTACTTTCAAACTGCAAATAACTTGGGTAAACATAGAGAGTAGACTGTCCATAATAGTGCAATAACACCCGTGACAACATACGTACAGTGTTCATTCTGGTGTTGGGTTTACCCTGAGTGCTACATGGTGGAAGACAGTGGAAACAGTTGTGCTGATCTTCAGAATAATGTGTCCTCTGTGGCACATGTGGTCACACTATCACATTGTGAATCTTAGTAAAGGGTAGTGCTACTGTGTTTATGTTGACTGCTTAACTGTTAGCAGCAGGATCTCTTCTTCTCAGAGGGGCTGCCGACCAGCTGGACTGTCTTCTCCTTCTCTCTGTCCTCTTGCTCTTTCAGAATTCTAAGAGGCATGAACAAATTCATTTTTACATTTTTATGGTATACCCCTAATTGGATTGAAGAAAATCGGTCATTCTCAGACAGAGGAGACAAAATATGGTTTAAACAATGACATGAACAGCTGTGCACTTGGTAAACAATGGCAGATATTTTCACTTAAGAGTGACTGCTTTCTGTTGTGTTGTCCGGAGCCAGCAGATAACAAAAAGCCCTTTGTTCCTCCAACACAGGACGAATTAAACATTTGGCTCTCTATGACATGCCTTGTTTCAGTACAGAAATAATCCCACTTTAAAAGCCGTTCAAGCAGACAGTTGCTCCATATTAACTCTAAACCCAATTACTGTTCCTTTGTTTTCCTGTTGCATAAACTCACACAAAAGGCCATTATTTTTGCTCACCTGGCTAACTGAACCATGGACTCCACCACATTGTGCCCAGAGCATGCACTGCACTCAAAGAAAGTCATTTGGCAGTCCTGCAAAAGAAGCAAATGATGATGATGATGGCTGCTGTTACCATGTAAGAGAAAGGTGAATGAAACTACTTTTTGCACACTGATCAGGATATCAACAAATGTCAATTCTGTACTAGTTGCAAAAGTAGAAAGACAAAAATGTTTCTCATGTAACAATATCAGCTCACATGGTCACCATAGAAACTACAGTACCAGCCAGAAAAAAAGAAAAGAAAGCTCATAAAAGCTAACTCAGAATCATACTGGAGTTGCATCCACATAAAAATTATCTCTATTTTGTGATCATTTTCATCGTTTCTTTAATTTATTAAAACAAGAAAAAGGCACCACTTTGTTACTGTGGTCTGACAGGTTAGAACCTGACACTAAGAATCTTGAGCTTAGCAGACAAACTAATCAAACAAACCTTGGCTAGTCTTTCGCCCAGTCCTTTCTGAACTTGTCTCTCCATCTCCTTGTCCGTTTTGTTTCCCAAGAGCATAAGAGGGATGTCCTCGCCTGCGCCCTCCTGTCAAAGAAGAAAATCACAGAATACAGAATCAAAGAAACTGATCTTCAGAAAGGACCAGGCCACCAGCTTCCCTGTTGCTATTGTGACTGTCTTACCTTTACACTCGTCAGCCACTGTCTGACAGCGGTGAAGCTCTGCACAGCTGTGATGTCATACATCACAACCACACCGTCAGCCTTGCGAAAGAATTGTTTGGTTATGCTTCGATACCTGCAGGTAAGAGGAGGCAAAAAGAGGAGGTGTTGTGTTTTCACTGGTACTGAAGACTCCCTCTTGGCTTTACGTGTATTTGTACAACTTGTAAAAACACAGCAATAATGTTTTCAAATGAGAACTTACTGATGTGAATTAAGTTTTAAAAAAACTTATCAAATAAAGAAACTTTTACAAAAATTAGTAATTAAAATACAATTTATACAAGCAAACTATTTGATTTAATAAAACAAGTACACAAATACAACAAACACACTCTTTTATCAAAGTGCCACAGCTGACAGAAGTAAAGCATAGCTATAGTTATGGTAGGTATAGTTACAGTACATCAAAGACTATTGGTCAACTGGTCATTGTGTGATGATCTCTCACCTCTCCTGTCCTGCTGTATCCCACATCTGTAGTGCCACATGGTTGTTGTCCACAGTTATTGTCTTTACACTGTAATCTACACCTGTACAAGCAGACAAGAAAATGTTAGTCAGCACATTCCATTTTATTATTGTTTACTGTACCAACAACACTGAACAAACAACTGTATAAACATGTGCAAGTATACACATGCAAATCTATACATTGACCTGAATTCATTTGATTGTTGCATAGTTGCAATGTATTTTAAAAGTGAATAATTTTATATCTGAAAAATAATGCAAAGATCAATGGAAGAAACCGAAAAACTGAAACTGCAATTTTTTTTTTTTACTTGAGAAAAACCCAGAGCACCTTCTGTGCTACTTCCAAACATTTATTACACAATACTAAAACAAAATAGAAAAGGCTTAACTGAAGCACCTTGACAGTAGCAGTTTTCTTTTATTGCTGTGCCGTACTTGAAAATTAAATCCTACAATAGTTGTATGTTTTAAAGAATGAAGACGGGAGGTTTATATTTTACACTGGTTGAACCAAAATGTTTAAATGAATTTTTAACATTGGCCTTAGAGAGCAGCTCACTTCTTTTTATTAGATTCTAGACAGGTGGCAATATATTTGAAGTCAGCTGCTTAGCCCTTCCCTATGAATCTGCACAGGACAACATATCGTACACTACATATACCATAATTATCATTAAACATACAGTTTTATGCTGCTAAGTGTAAGACATTGCTTAATATCCATTATTGTGAAACATATTGCACAGTACAGTAAAATCTGGTCACAGCAGCTGTCTATACACAGTCTTATAGCCTGTACTTTCACTGCAGATGCTGCTGTACTCTGAGTTTGACTTTATTACATTTCAGTCTCCAGTGTTAAAACCAAGTGTTACATTCAAGTGCTTGGTAAGCAAACACATACGGAACCCTGAGGTCAACCACAGAGTGTTTTGTTGCCTTTGCTCACAGGAACCGATTACATACAATACAGTACATACCCACAGTGGCAGATGTACCAGGGCGGAAGCAGTCGTCACAAAAACGTCGAAGGAGGGAGGTCTTTCCAACACTTGAGTTCCCCACCAGGATGATCTTGAAGAGGCGGTCAGGCAGCGAGGGGCCACCTTCCTCCTGAAGAAAGAGAGAGATTATGGTAGCAGAGATTAAAGGCAGGTTATGGGATCTCAGTGGATACACCAGGGTCATGATGCCATGACACAGTAATTGCATTCCTGTAGTGCTTAAATGAAAAGCAAACTTTACAGTATATTACTCGATGTCCACATGCTTACATTTATGCTGGTCTCCTTGCCAACAGGCTGACCCCTCGGAGATGTCGGGGTGTCCCTTTTCTCCTCAGTTCCCTTCGACTTTTGCTGCTGAGCAGAAGACGCACACGGGTAAATATCGCTCATCACCAAGTCAATATTCTCCTCATTGTCTGAGGCTTCCTCTCCTTCACTACACTCGTGAAGGGTTTGAGCCTGACAGTCATTCTGGAGCAGATGTGGGAGGGGGTCCTCCTCGATAGAGATGATCCTCTGGAGGTGCCCTCTTGTCTCTGCTGTGTGGGAGAACTGGCATGACCCATTGGTTAGGTTCTCCCTCACATAGCCTGTGGTCAGCTCCTCCTCATCCTCACTGCAGATAGAAAGTAACATTATAGCCCAGACTACAGTGCTAATGGAGAAAATGCAGATCCACCATATACATATACTGTACAAACTGTGGCTTGTTGTCTATTTGACAAAGACTAATGTAATTGTATTTAATGGTTTACCTTTTGAAGACATTTGTGTTTGTGTGTTTCACAACACTGATTAAAGGCCTCTGCTTCAAACCTGAAGGTTTCTGAGAAATCTTTGGTTTCTGCAGAAACAAAACATAAGGTTTTTATTCATATTGCAGCATGACATTCAGGGTGGGTATTGAGAGCTCTGGTGATCACTTAATTTTTTTTTACTCCTCTAATCTTTAAAAAGACATGAAGTGCAGAGAGGGCACGCTTAAATAATAAAGTCAATAAATTACACCATAATAAACGGCACATACCTGATAACGCATGTCCTTTTCATCTCGTAAATGTTTGTTCATTTCCCTGGATACAACAAAGAAACAAAAGGTATTAAAGACTTTTCATGATATTATACTTTTACACAATTGTCAACATTGTAACTGACCAAAGTCTATTAATTTTAACGAGGTGAATAACTAACTGAGATGTTACTCATTAGTTTTGGCTATCCTACTATTTGTGACAATAATACAATAAACAGCAGCAGTGGTAAACTTTACTTTCACTAAAGAGAACTGGCAAGAAAATAGACAAACCACTTACCTTTTTAATTTTCAGTTAGACAAGGCTAGGTATTTTGCTTTTGAATGACTTCAAATCCCAAGACAAAAATCCAGCTGACATTACTGTCTTTTTTTGTTTTTTTACCTCAAAAGGTCCAGTTGTTTGAGGAGGCCCGCTCGCTCTCGATGCAGTCCCTCAGTCAGTCTGTATATTTCCCTGTGTGTTGAACAACAACGCATTCTTTATTAAAAATACTCTATGACCAAACAGACCCAGTTTGTGCTGTGGTTACACTTTATTAAAAACTAGTGAGAAAACCTGTCCCAGAGCAAAGAAAGGCGCAATGAGTTGTTAGACTAGAGTGGTGTGTATATGACACAGACACATTGTCTTCTACCCTCTTCAAGATACGGTTTCATACCCTTTTAAACATGAGACTTGTCCTCATATGAGAATGTAGACGTGCAGAGTATAAGAGAAATGTCATCTGCTATAAAGATTTTTTTTTAAATAATTATGGGTTACAGCGATTTGACTACCATTTTACTATGTCCATCAGCGGTAAACTTGATCACAAAGACATGAAAATCATGTCTAAAAGTCAGCTCTTGCTTATACAGTATAAACTGTAAATGAAGTATGTATCATTATGCCTCTCCATTATTGTTTTTAGCAAAAACATGTGATTGCATCCTGACCAATGAGTAAGAAATAAGAATCTGAGAGGCCAAAATAATCAGGGCTGTAGTTATGAAGAAGCCTGAGTAAATAAGACTCACATCTCCTTCTCCTCATGAAGCCGTGCGGACTGCTCCTGCAGCACGCTAAGCTGCTCCTGTGCCAACAGCAGCTCTTGGCTGGTGTGCTCCAGCTCCCGTGCTAACTCGTCATTCGTCTGCTTTAGCTTCACATTCTCCACCATGGTCACATGTTGTTCACTGTGAAGCTCTTGGCACTGGCTCTCCAACTGGAGGTGGCAAAAAATAAAAAAATTCTGGATTCCTTTTTGTTTAAATGAAATGTTTGTCATGGTGCCCCTCACAAGGATCGGGCCCATTTATTGAGGCAGAACTGACCTTTCATTAAATATTACTGAATTATTATGCAGTAATCCGCCAGCCCGTGTTAGTCACATGTAACATATTGGAAGTCTCTGTCTGATCACATCAAATAAATACAATCGATATCGCTTAATTTCTTGATTTTTTCATTTCAAGTTCCTTTGTGGAGGAAGATAAAAATATCTAAATCTGGTGACTCCTAGTGGTCCACTTTCACACAACCTATTCTAACCGTTGTGCTCTCAGCTCTAAAAATGAATGTTAAATGTACTGAATGTTAAATGTACTGAGTGTACGTAATATGAGGGGACAGCATGATGTGAAAATACAATACCTTCTAACAGCTGAGGGCCTGTTAATATTTTCCAACAAACTGCTTGTTTCACCTGCATTCCATTAATACACATAATAGTGAGCAATACCATACTAACTGCTTTTAAAGCTGTGCTTGCCTGTATACCGCTGCATGTCTCCACAAACAGGAAACTTGGTAAACAGCTGACATATTAATCAGAGGTGCTAATGAGCTGAGAAGAGAAGCAAAGTCCTTGCTGACATGACCGGAATTAATTTCAGTTCACTCATTAGCCTTAAAAGCCTGAGTCTGTAAATGGAGGAGTGACAGGACCTATTAAGATCTAACAGTATCTTTTAACAGATGATCAATAGATTATATTGTATTTGATTAAATCCGACAAATCTCCATGTGACTGAGTGTTAAAAGAAGGGTAATGCTATATGCAAATCTGCAAGGTTTTCACACCCATACCTTTCTGTTTCTATCACGTAGAGACTACACTACCGACTGTGACACACAGGGTCATAATCTGGGAATTAAATCCTTCTCATCCGCTTGGTAAAATTTAGTATCACTGAATATATTCTCTTGAATGCTATGTACTGGACATATAGTAGAATTTATATTGTTTGGTGCTTGAACAAGTGAGAAAATGTATTTGTAGGGAACCGGCCTGTGTTATATGGTGATATTTTAATAGTGTGTTGCTGTTTCAGTGGTAGTAAATCACTTTATTAGCCTTTTATAGCATTCTGTTACCCGTTATCTTGTTTGATCTGTCTAACATGTGTTGCTGCTCTGACAGCTGAATTTACCTTTGGGATAACTTCAGTGAGAGGGTGTGTGTGTGTTTAGTCTTTCTTATCGACTGTGGATGCTGCAGTGCACTCTGGGGAAATCATTTTGCCACCTCTCACTCACCCTTCTCTGTTTCTGAAAGAGCTGCTCCAGCTCTTTCTCCTTACTGGACAGCTGGAGCTCCATGTCTTGACTGCGAGACAGAAACCGCTCGTAGTCCTTCAGTGCAGGGATAAGAGAGGGAGGAGCGAGGACAAAGGTGATAAGGAAGAAGAAGATGGACAGTATTTGATATAATTAATGACAAAGAGGAAAAAAACATGAGACATATAGTAGGTTTGTACCTGCAGCACAATCCTGTCTTTTTCATTTTTTATTTGCTGCTCCATTTCCTCATAAAGGCGCTGGATCTCATCATCGTGTGTTGCTGCTTTCCTGTATGGATAAAATTCAGATGTGATCATGTGCTATGTACAGTACAGTATGTAACTCACAACATGTATGTGAAACAACTGCCTAGATCAACACACTTTAACCCATACAGTATAGTTTTGAATGACACTGTGTGATTGCCTTAAGAAACAACAGGTCTATGAAAGCCATTATTCAAGAGCACAAGGAGTATTTATGACAGCTTCTAAAAGTGATGGGCACACACTCACTAATTAGGGGAGCCATTTCACAGCTCAGTCAAATGCTCCTTAGTGGAGACCTTACAATGTAAAAAACCCCTAATAACCTCTGAACATCTTCTTTGACTGAAATATACAAAGATATCCCATCCTGACCTTTTTAGAGCGCTCTCCATCTCCTTCTTGTCCTGGTTGGCCTCTAAGATCTGGGAGGTCACTCTGGCAAGGAAGTCTTCAAAGTTGGATAAAAGGTGTGGTTCATCCCGGCGTAGCTGGGCCCACAAGCTGCGCACCTCAGCAGGACTGATGGGATAGAATGGAGGAGCAGGTGTAACCATCTACACAACAGTGTCAACTTCTCTTTTTTGCAGTCTTTGTCACGGGGTTTCACAAGAAATTCACAATTCTTTTTAAGAAGAGAAAGAAATAATGTGGCAAGGACATGGGTGGAAATTCTTAGCACAGCAACAACACAATCACATTCATAGACGTAGCCGCTCAGGTACCAGATCATAGTGGCTTTTAAAACGACAAGATGTTTTTCTTTTATTTTGTTGTTTTAATTCTTTATCTGTGTAGATTTTATCTGTGCTGTTGAAGCACTTTGTAACCTTGTTAAGCAAAATGCTATATAAATAATGTCTTAAATAATTTTATCATTATGTTCTTAGCCTTGAAGACAATCAATCGTGAGGGTGTGGCAAATGTAAATGTGATATAATTATGTACAGTGGTGGACGAAGTATAGTCAGGAAAAAGTACTCAATGCAGAAACATGTCCCCTGTGCCTGTTATACAAGTATACATTATATCATCAGATTATTATTCCTACTGCATTCGTATAAAAGCAGGATTTTACTGCTGCAGTTGTTGAGCTTTTCATTATGTATTCATCTGCTGATTGTTTTCTCCATTAATTGATTGATTGTTTGGTTTGTAAAGATTCTGCCGTCGCAGTTACCCAGAGCCCAAAGGGACAGCTTCACATCATTTGTTTTGTCCAACCAACCGTCCTTACCTCAACATTCAAATAATTTACATACTTAAAAGTAAAACCAGCAAATCTTCACATTTGTGAAGCTGGTACCATGAAAGGTTTTCCTCCATGAAAAATGACCTAAACAATCAAAATAAACTCGTCATATATTTTGCGTGTAAAAAGTAATCAGTAACTAAAGCTGTCAGATAAATGTAGTGAAGTACATATTTCGCTTTGAGACGTAGTGAAGTACACAAGTAGAAAGTGGCATGTACAGGTACCTCAAATTTGTGCTTAAGTACAGCACTTGAGTAAATGTACTTAGTTACTGTCCACCACTGATTATGTAATTATGTTTCCACAAGAAACAATGTAATGTGCCTGTAAGCTATGATAAGGTAGGGAAAGTCAAACAAATCCCTGCAAGACTTTTCAACAGTTACAAATACTTCTCCTTAAACTCTGGCCAACATCAATATGAGTTAGTGCTGCACAAAGTGACCTGAAACGTCAACTCGAGCTAACCAGGTAGGCGGAAGCCAACCGGACGTGTATATCTGGCATCCACCTCCACTTCTGTTTACTTTTATTGAGTTGGAGTTGTTTGTTAAAGGTGAGTCTAGTCATGCATTTTATAAGATCCTGTCATTACATGTCTTCCAATCTAACAAAGCAAATGTCTAAACAGACCTCAACTAGAGTTACTAATGACCAGTGAACATGGTATGAAATACCAATGCAGAGAGAGTTAATACTAATGGTTTAGATAAGTTTGTGAGGGCTTTCAGTTCCAGGAAAAGTGTGACTGTTTCCTTGAACTGAAGCCTCCTCTCAAATCCTAATGTTTGATACTAAATGTCTATGTTTCAAACACAATCCTGTTCAACAGACTTAAAGATATAACTGTCACACTCTAATACAAAGAGGCAGAGCACGGGGACAGCGGTGCTTGAGAATGGAAACTCCCAACTCTTATATAGTTTACACAGCTGATTAAAGTCTCAGGCTAAGTCACTTAAAATCTAATGTAAACTTAAAGGAGGTGATAACAAAGTGTGCAGGTAGACCAAACAACACACACACATACAGTACTCACTCTTCAAAGACACTATTGGCTCCGAGGCTCTCCATAAGCATGCAAAAGTGTTTCTCCTCCTCATCCTCATCTCCTCGTGCCACACTCTCCTCCCAGTGGGTCTGGTATAGGACCTCTGCCGGGCTTTCACAGGGGTTTTTCTCTCCCATGCCTTGTTCTACTGAAATCTTCCGACCGAACAAAAACTTACCTAGAAAAATCAAGAGCTTAAGTGCACGATCGAAACACCAGACTCCAATCTACTGATGATACTAGTAGCATTGTTATGAGAAGTAGGCTGAAAACATACTAAAGCCAGAGGAGAACTCGTCGAGGGTAAGGTATCCATTGCCATCGGAATCAAGGGTATCAAATACGTTCTCCAACTCTTCTGCACTGAGAGGGAGCCCGCCATTTAGTCTCTAGTTAACAAGACACAAAATACAGCTGCTATTGGGAAGAACAAAGACTCAAGGACATTAACTCTGCTGTAGCTAAAAAATGGCTACTTGATACTTGTAAGAACAGTCATTTGCGTAGTGTCTATGATGTGCAATGCAACAGTTGGTGGTTCTTTCTCAGCTATTTATGTCAGAATTTGACTAAATTAGCCCAATTTAGTCTCATTCTTGTTTGAACCAGAAAATGTTTAATGGACATGCATCATCTCCAGCAACACAATGCCTCACACTGTTATCTGGATAGTCCCAGTGCAGATACAGTCTCCAATTACTGACCACTGGCAGCTCTACTGGAACCGATGTTGGCTCATGGGAGACTGTCAAGAGCCCTTTAACAGAATATTTTAAGTAGACTGAGATACTATTTGAGAAGGGAGGGGTCACAGCTGGACCCTAACCAAAAGGCGTAATCCAAAAGGGACAGAACAAAGTGAGATCCTCCCAAAAAACTATCTGACCATGACAGTAACTGCTGGACCATTTACGAGAAAGGCCAACACAGCCACACTCTGTATCAGCTTGGTTTTTATGCATGTTTACACTGCTGCAAATGTTGACTGAGGCCACCCATACAATCTAGGGGAGGTGAGAGGGAAAGGGTGGCATCTGTTTAAGATTATCAGCTATTCTTATAAAGTGCGTTATCTGGGCAGAACATATCCCTTATGTCAGCAAACAGTAGAACTGTAAAGCTAGCGTGCTGGTGGTCATGGTGAGAAACGTACTTTTAAGCTGCAAACATCCAGAGAAAACACTGTGACTGACAATATTGTGTCACAAATAAAGTTCCACTCATTTAGGCTGACAGATCATTTGACAGATGTATTGAAAGTGTAAAAACAAACATATCGGCCGGTATCAAGTGCTGCATTTAAGTACAGCGTGTACTCAGGTGGTCATATAAATAGAAGGGAGAGAGACTGGACCACTGTCCGCATCGCCATCTAATTTCCAATTTCCATTATTCCATTATTATAAACACCGGATCAAAGCTTCCCCTCAATGTATTTATGCACCTCAGAGCGAGAACCTACAAGTGCTTCATCAAAGGATTAGCCACGACAGGGATGAATATCCGAGGGGCAAGTGAATCTGCACAATAATGTGAGTGGAGGAGTTGCATGACAAAGCTGTGTCTCAGTCTCTTTTATGCTGCTCTGAATAAGGTTCACGTGTCCCGTCCATGTCCTGTTCAGCATCATTACTGAGTGCACACGCAGTCCCTGTACTTTATGCTAATTCTGGATGAAAAAGGAGTCGTTATTTCTAAATATGATGTCAATGTCAATGAGACTTCTTATTTACCGTGGATGTTAAAAATTGGTTCAAACTGCGCTGATATTTTCTCAATTAGGTATCCCTACAAGTAATTAAAATTGCTAACAATGTGTTTCTATTTTTTTCTGTGGCCCATTTATGGGGCTAGCATTAAACCACTGAAGTTCTTTTAATGTCGGTCTTTACACTACTTTAAAACAGTCACCCTTGTGTCAGCAATCTCACCTGCATGTCACGTCGGCTGATGAAGCCCTTGTTCTCGATGTCACACATCTGGAAGAACTCGTGGGTTTTCTCCAGGATAGTGTTTTCTCCCAAGTCCCCATTCTCGCCTTTTCCCGCCTTTTCGCTGCTTCCTTGCCTTTGCCATGCAGCTCGGGCCACCGTGGTGGTGGTGGTATTGGTGGTGGCACAAGGAGCAGTAAACGCAGCCATGGTATCTGTGAGTCTGTTGATATACGAGCTTTGCAGGTGTCCTTCACATGAGCCAAGTACAGACAGAGGTGTGGAGGAAAGTGATCCTGGAGAAGTCGCGCTTCAGGCTGCTCTACAGGCTGCTCTACATCTGAGGCTCTCGCCAATGTCACCGATTGTCATCCCTTAGCAACCACCTCTTTAATGAGTCGATGAAACCTGGGAGAGAGACAAGAGGAGAGTCTGCAGTTAAAATAAGTACAGCCCCTTGCTCAATGAAAAGAGTTACAAATATTATTCTAAATACATGTACTGCATCAAAAACATGTACATATTGTACAAAATAAAAAGTCTATAAAAAGGAGTGCTGTTTTAACCTGATAAATCAGAAATATACTTGAAAAAATGATATATCACCATAGTCACAAGCACATGAATAACTCAATACCACACATTAAAAGAACAGACTAAGAAGGGCACCTTGATTTTTAGTTAGCTTTAGTGGTGATTATACATTCACAGTTCAAAAAAACTAACAAAAAAAAACAGTGTGTCACTGTTGTTATGCAAACCTGTATGTTCATTAATGCTCTTCCTCAATTCTTTCACGCACACATTATCAGTCTGATTTAAATATAGTTGTGCAAGGTTAAACACTGCGTGTGCAGCTAAAACAACAACTGCTCTTCTCCTTTACTTCAGGAACGATGGCCCTCCCTGAGACTAACGACATCTGACAGTAAACCCAGAAGTGAAAAGAAAGTTGTGGTATGGTGAGGAGGGATCTTGTCTGCCTGAAAATATTGACTGACATGACTCACTTAGTGGTGGGTTTCATGCAGTCTGCAGTTCTATGTGCATTGGTATGGAAGACTGGAGGCTGCTGTGCACCATGAGTTGGCTGATTCATGAAAAAGAGCATCAGGTAGTGTGTGTGTGTGTGTGTGTGTGTGTGCTGACCCATGCAAATGTAGATATGCGGGACTCGTATAAGAAAAACAGACAGAAAAAAATGCATGTAGGCAAGTAGAAGGAGAAAAGAGAAGAGACATAATACACACACACACACACACACACACACACACACCCCTTTTTAACTCTAGTACTGGTATGATCTATATTCATTTATGCATTTTTAATTAATACATTTAATAATAATAATAATCTTTATTTGTAGAGCACTTTTCAAAAACAAGTTACAACGTAATGTACCATGTAATTGGTTTGCAAAAGTGAAAAAGCCCAAAGTCCAGCCCAAAGTGAGTTCCCATCTCCCACAGAAAACTCTGCTCTGAACTGCTTGAAAATAGCTCGTTTGTAGTCCAGCCGCTTCCCTTTCATCCTTGTGACGACACAGGGATAAAAGCTAAATGCGCCTCATACTACTCCGACACGCCCTCAAAAACACCAGTGCCCGTCTTTGCTTCTGATTGGCTAGTAGTCCTTAACTAGGAACTGCGCATGTGCAACTCCTAACAAAGATCATTTTGAGACAAAATGTATCACTACACAGCTAAAACGAAGCCTTCAAGACAGGGTGAGAAGAGGAGCTGCAGCAATGTGCAGTATGGTGTATGGTGTTTTTTTTTTTAAATTAAACTGTGTAAACCTGTTCTGGTACAACCCCTCAATAGGATTTTGAACCTGAAAATGAGCATAATACCACCTCTTTAAAAAAGAGGGATACCTGAAAAGGAGTGTAAACATTTTATTAATCTTAACATTTCTACAAAATGGCATGTTCTTCATGAAACACTTGCTATTTCTGGCTATGTCATGCCTGGAAATTTGAGCCTAAACATTATGCAACATATTGCAAGCATGACAAACCTCACGAGGAAAGTCACCAACCAACAATGAGCTAAACACAAAGCTGAAGCGTGAGAGAGGAAATAAGAAAGGGAACTAAGGTGAACTGCCGTTTGGAAAGAGTGATATAGTGTTTTTGTCCTTTTGGCACACGATAATACATAATATTGTCTAATCTTAACAGACTGGCCAGATGCCACAGAAAGGTTCATGGCTCCTTTATTAAAACATGGTAAGGGTGTTAACGTAGGTAACCAGTGAAATAGGAATAGAGTAGAGGTAAATAATATAAAACAAGAAAAATACTTAAAAGGGCTTTTGCCAGTATACTTGCTTCTACAGATTCCACATCTGGCATATGATTTAACACAATATTGTATCGGTCTAACTTCACTATATTGCAGTCAATTATAAAGGTTAGGAAATAAAATAATATTCGTATTGAAACTAAACTATTTGTCATTTTCCCAGGATGTAATGAAATGCTGGAGCTTACTGCTTTGCATACGGTTACCTTATCTGTTTCAGTGTTTGTCTGACATGTAACAGCTGTTAGAGCTCCAGCACTTAGCGACTAAGCAACATAAGTTCAAGCAGAAATTACAACAAAGTTTAAAGCAACACAAATGAACTAAATAGCATAAAAACGGATGAAACAGTCCATCAGTTTAAATGACCTGATCAGGCTGTCAGATGATTGCACACCGATGTTCTTGCATAGTCACTACATTCAACAGGATATGTGAAAATGAGATATGGTTTGTTCAACTGATACAAGTTTCTCTTTTAAGCAGCCACGGATGTTGTGGTCAGGACTACAGGGAGCCACATTTAGTTTGTGGTCTATAGTCATTGACCAAAACAGGTTTCTACAGAAGGTGCTTCTTTTGTCTTTGGCAACCAAATGAAAACACTATCAACAACAATTATATTTTAAAAATGTCAACTTTCTGTGGCCCGATTAGATTTTCTGCAGTTAAATATAAAGTTGTCTGGTTTAAAATCTAGCTAATAACCATCTGTGCCCAGATGAAATGAAATGTCGTTGAAGACAAATGACTCAAGGTTTTGAAGCATGCTGCTTGTTCTTGCTAAAGGTAATATTTACCCTACCTAGCATAAAAGATGGAGCAGCTGCAGCACCTATCTCTTGAACCCACCTTTAGTGAAAATGTCATGTTTTGTGTTCATGCTGTTGCAGATTTTAATCACATTGTTTAGCCCCTTTTTCCCCCTAACTTTTGTGGGTCATCCTCACGTCCATTTACTGTGAAATCGCAAAGGGTTTTCATGGCGCTATGGGCAGAAATAACGGATTGTGTGAAGAAACACAGCACAACAAATCCGGCAAGAGACGGAGTTCAAAAGGTATTCCGTATTACCCAAATATTAGTCCGTCCACATCCGTCTTATTTAACAAGACATGAAGCCAAATTAAAATTTACTCCACTTCCTGGAGGGAGGTCACGGCATCGTCACATAACAACAATCACTCATCAGGCATCTGCACCTACTGAACTGCAATTTACCTAACGTTATACCAAATAACATATATGCGTCATGTCATAAGAAACGAGCCAACACACGCTTAACGTTGCAATATGCAAACACAACGCCAATACACGAGGGGTTGCATGTAGTAAGCAACACAATAAGTTAGTTAGCTAAGGGGAAATAGCAGGTTCCAGTTTCACAAAACACGTGTGACAAGATTAAACGTCCAATTCCTTCACTACAGGCACACTTTCTCATTTTGTGAAACTTCCCGTGTGATAGATAAATCCTCCTTCACGCTGTAGTTTGTGTAAATTAAGCGTTTACATACACTTTGCATTAGTTAACGATAGCTAGAAAGGACTTCCCTACAGCCTCCAGTAAGTGGCTAGATGGTGACGTTAGTTGAAGTTACGCTGAAGCAGCAAAGAGCAGGCTGGCAGGTCAATTAAGCTGAAGTGCGTACTGATGTCGTTAGCGGACTGTTGGGGAGCAAAAGTTCAGTACGTACCGGTGAATGAGAAGGGAAATTCAGGTTGGAGGAATTCATTGACTTGGTCTGTGTCAGCCAGCCTTATCCGCTTTTAGTGAACCTCACAGTTTACAAGTGAAGTCAACTGTGTGAGTGCAGGAATGTGACTGAGCCCTGACGGACGGGGCAACATGGAGGGAGGGACTTCAGCAAAGTCATCGCTGATAACCATAGCAACACTAACAAGGAAGTCCTCACGCTGGAAGATGAAGCAAGAGCAAGATATTAATATCGGAGCTCAAAATTAATTTGTGGAGTTCGTTTGGTTGAGGGGAGTGACGACTTGAATGTGACATTGTTTCATTACTTTCTAAATTAAAAGAACAGGTGATATCTTATTTATTTTATTTGACTTTGTTGAGTAAAAGTTGGTGATCTTTATTTTTCAACTTAGCCTACAGTACAGTTGCTGCAGTAGAAGACAACAGATTGTTGTGTGGACAGAGCTCTTGTTGGTGAGAAACAGGTTTTGCCTGAAATGAAATGAAATGCAGGATCCACAGTGGGCCATTACTGTATCACATGTTCTTGAAGTAAATTCCTGTGGTACTCGAGAGGTTTGTATAGTACTTTTAAAACATGATTGTAGGCAGGCTCTGCAGTAGGCCTACTTTACCATATATTCTGTGGTACTACATCAGACATTCTGAGGTACTATACCATATATTATACAATACCACATAATGCATAGTAACATAGATTCTGTATTGTGTGTGTTACGTTGTGTGGTATTATATCATTCTGTGGTACATGTACCACAAGGCATGTACTTTGTGGTAAATCTTTGGTACAGTACCACAGGTTCCATATTACATTACCACAGAATTTGCTTTAACTGTGGTACTGTAAGGCCGTACCACATGAATATCACAGAACCATTTTCCAATAACGCAGTTCATTATTGTAAGGGGGGTATTGGAGTAATTTAGCCTAACTAGAGGGCCACAGACATTGTTTAAAACATGTTCTGGCCAAAATACCTTTCTGTATGGCAGTGTAGAGTGGAATAGACTTACAGAGATAACATAAAGTCAGTCAACATGTAAGAAATGGTTATCTGATCAAAATGAAATAATGACTTTTATGTGATGTGTAGCTACATAATATGTAGGTATATGTGTTAGTAGGACACTTTGTTGGGTGCTCCTAATGAAGTGGCCACACTCAAAGATGGAAGTGGCCGCTTTGTTGCATTTCTGGCTGTGTCTTGTGAGTTGGCCGCTGGGTGTGTGTGTATATGTATATCTTTATGGCTGTAATAGATGAGAATGTGTATATATATATATATGTATATAAGTAGCCTATACATGTATGTACAGTAGGTGTGCTGATGTGTAGGCCTACATCAGGGTTATGTGTGACTTGTGTTGCTATTTTTGTCCTCCTGGAAAGAGGACCACAATGGAAAAACAGTTAGTGTGACACACAGGAAGGTGTGGTCACATTATGTGAATTTATTGTCAAAAGTCTGTGTAATTTCTATGTGTTTATTGTTGTAGCAGAGCCTAATTTGATGTACATTTATGTAAGGAGCGTAATAACGATTCTTGCAAGAGGGGCGCCTCACCTCCCTAGTCAGCCTGGTGTGGCTTGCAGCCAGTACCTGATGCCTGTCTCATACTTTTCCTGTTATCTACAGGTTAGTAAGTGTTGAAATATCCATGGGGATTAAAAATGTTTAAGTATAATGTACATTGTATTGCCTTGTTGTGCTCTGTTTATTGGAGCCTCTACTTTGTTGTTTATAAGTGCCGTGAATAAAACGTAGTCAGGGATGCTAACCTACTTCCAAAGACGGTTAAAGTCAAGGGCAACTGGACTTGGTTGAAGATACTAGAAGACGTTTCGTCCCTCATCCAAAGGACTTATTAGGTTCTGACTGACTGGTAGGGAAACTAAGCTATTTAACCTCAGTGGGGTCGTTTGCCAGGATCATGGATACCGCTGGTTCGTTAGTGTTCCTGGCTGTTGTAACGACAGTCGTTACGTTTGTTAGGACTACCTGAGGCCAAGACTGAACGACCATCGTTGGCATCCTCACCTGAGGCCAATAGGTTACGTTTGTTGAGTTTCCTGGGAAGTGATGAAAGGACAGCATTGTAAGTGGGGGATAAGTGGTGGCGTAGACCCCCTCCTCTGTTCAGCGATGGCTTCTCAACCCGGGTGTAGATGGCTTCCTTGACACCTCTTTCAAACCATCCATCTAAGATGGACCTGGTGGTCCTCAAACAAGTGTTCTCTGTCCTTCAGATGTAAGTAGACAGCAGAGTCTTGACCTGAGGAGTTGGCCCTTCTGTGTTGAGCCATGCATTTGTGTAGTGGTTGTTTAGTCTCCCCAATATACAGGTCTGTGCATTCCTCACTGTAATGGACCGTATACACTAGATTGCTTTTCTTGTGCTTGGGGGTGCGGTCTTCATGGTGGACCAGTATCTGTCTTAGTGTGTTCTTGGGTTTAAAAAACACAGGGATGTGGTGTTTGCTGAAAATCGCTGAAAAAGAGTTTCTCTGATACTCCAGACACGTATGGAATCACAATGTTGTTATGTTTCCACTGAAGGAGTTGAGGGCTTTGCTCTCCACATCTTCCATGTAGATGTTCGCCACAATCGGGGATACTGGTGAGCCCATGGCACAGCCATGCTTCTGTCTGTAGAATCCTCCATTGTACTGGAAATAGGTGGTGTTTAGACAGAGGTCGAGTAATTTGCAGATCTGGTCAGGGCTGAGGCTAGTTCTGTTGTCCAGGGTGTGGTCTTGTGTTAGCCGTTTCCTTACGGTTTCTACTGCTTCTATGGTGGGGATGCAGGTGAACAAAGAAGTCACATCATAGGATACCATGGTTTCATCTGGTCCAGTTTCAGTCCTCGAACTTTGTTTACAAAGTCATTGGAGTTTTGGATGTGGTGTGTGGCGTGAGTGGGGCTCCTTCTTTGTGTATCTTGGGTAGTCCATATATGCATGGCTACTTGGCATGTTAATGTAGCTTGGCTCACCATGTGTATAACGTGTGTATTGAACTTGATTTTCTAGAGTACGCTCCGTGATTGTATTCAGTTGATTAGGCTCTTGCAAAAAGCAGTTTGTAAATAATGTGTTCTGGGATAATGTTTGGTGTTTATAATGCATATTTACTTTTTCTTTTAAATCTAATAGTAAAATGCTTACTCTTACTACTCGTGTCGTTTACCTGTGGGTTTAGACCATTGTATTTTTTTAGCTTTATGCTAAAACATGTATTATTTTCTATCAGCCAGGTTAGCTGGAAGTCTTTATGCAAACACTAATTCAGTAATTATAGCTGTGAGCAGCAGACCAAAGACATTTGGAGAACAATGTATTTTATTTTATTTCTACATGAAGACAAGTTAGGTGTGGATTGTGGGGAATATTATCATTCTAACAGAAACTGGAATTTTGTTTTTTTGGTTTGTCATGATGTGACCTTGAAATTGGAGAAAAAGAGAAATGTGATGTGAAAAATGTAGTTAAAACATACATGTGTATTAAAGTATGACAGTAGCGACGAAGAGAAGCGCACTACCTGTTGCCTGTCTCATAATTTTCCTGTTATCTACAGAAAATCATAATCTGCATACAGACCTCATGTCCGGGGCCTGTTACATTAGCCTTAAATGTGTTATTCTTGACATTTTCAATTTCAGTGTATTTGTTGCAGTGTATGACCTATACATTATATATATTTATATGTGTGTGTGTGTGTGTGTGTGTGTGTGTGTGTGTGTGTATATATGTATGTATATATTTGTATATATATGTTATATATTTGTTGATATTTCAAATAAATGAATACACTTAAAATAATTTACATGTGTATTGTACTATACAGTATATCCACATAACAATGGAAGTTTTTTCACAGCAAACATTTTGGCATGTCATTGCAGGAAAACCACAGGTGGAACAAATAACATCAACAATACCTCTGCTCCCTTTAGTTGCGACAGCAAGCTATATCAGTGTGCTTAGCTTGTATAAGGTCTCTGACACACTTAAATGAGACGCAGCCCTTATTAAATTAATTATATACACCTGTGCTTTTTCTGCTATGACATGTTACATGTCTCCCATGAAATTATGATATGAAAATGCTCTGCTACATTCACCTGCCGCTCGCTCAGCCAGTTTGCTAGTGACTGCCAGTGGTGGTGATGACTTTACAGGACTGGTAAAAAATAAAATAATGCATCTGTCCCTGTTTGGGAGCATCGAATTTAAGCACATATTGCAGATAATACCTACTAATTACACCTAACTAATTAAGTAACATTTTAAAAGCAGGACTTTTACTTAAAGGGATATTTTATACAGTGTGGTATTACTTTTGCTTAAGTAAAGAAAATCTATATTTAATAATTATAAATAAATAATATTATAATTGTGACCTCATGGAATCATTGTCCATCTAAATATCTATGCTAATTGTGTCTGTGCCTGGCCTGTCTTTCTGTGTGTCATGTGGTAGCAACAGTTTCCCACTTCAAAGTCACTGATAGCTTTGATATACTGATACCTAACAAGTGGTCTGTCCACCAGTTTCATATTGAACTCCACATGAAAAGTGATTAGAGCACTGAAATCTATACCTAGGTGATAAAGCTTCAATGATTCATAATCAGAGAGACATTGAAAGGAATGATAGTATGATGTTAAGAATTACGTTTATGGTAAATTTGACTTTTTCTTCAGTTCAGGATGTCAATACTTTGAGGAAAATTTGCGATCAAACCGTACAGTCATTATGAGATTGTGTAGGAAGTGTTGTCCATATAAAACTTGTGAAAATCAACAAGAAATTAGGTACTGTACCAAAATTACTGGAGTGGGGAGGGGCACTTGAACTTATGTTCCACTTTTTATTAAACAAAACCCTTCCCTGTCTTATTCATATTTTCTTAGGAAAAAACAACTAACATCCTGCCCACAATACCAGATATACAATTAATGGTGCAATTAATTTTACTATCAATATCTATGACACAATGTATTAATAATCATAAAATAGTTTAACCCAACAAGCAGCTATGTGGTTGCTGCTGATAAGACTTGATTACCAAATGCCCCATTTTCTGGATTCCAAATAGTAAAAATAATA